TGCAAGACCTTGTCTCTACAAAAAAAATAAATAAATTTTTTGGCTGGGAGCAGTGCCTCACGCCTGTAATCTCAGCACTTTAGGAGGCTGAGGCGGGTAGATCACCTGCGGTCAGGAGTTCGACAGCAGCCTGGCCAATATGGTGAAACCTTGTCTCTACTAAAAATATAAAAATTAACCAGGCGTGATGGCAGGCACCTGTAATCCCAGCTACTCAGGAGACTGAGGCAGGAGAATTGCTCGAACCCAGGAAGCGGAGGCTGTAGTGAGCCGAGATCACACCACTGCACTCCAGGCTGGAGGACAGAGTGAGAAACCATCTCAAAAATAAAATAAAATAAAATAAAAATTGTTTTTAAATAGCTGTGACATTGTAACACAGAAACAGGTAGCATCTAGATATAATTAGAGAATGGGGCCAGGCACAGTGGCTCATGACTATAATCCCAACACTTTGGGAGGCCAAGGCGGGCAGACTACTTGAGGCCAAGAGTTTAAGACCAGCCTGGGAAACATGGCAAAACCCCATCTCTACAAAAAATACAAACATTAGCTGGGTATGGTGGCGTGCACCTATAGTCCCAGATACTCAGGAAGCTGAGGTGGGACGATGCCTTGAGCCCAAGAGGCAGAGGTTGCAGTGAGCCGAGATGGCACAACTGCACTCCAGCCTGGGCAACAGAGCGAGACCCTGTCTCCAAAAAAAAAAAAAAAAGCAAAAAGGAGAAATCAAAGTATATACTAGATAATCTCACTCAATCCTCACAGTGACCCTGAGATAACCATACTATTATCATCTGTAATTTATCATTTCACAGATAAGCAACTGAAGCTTAGATGGCAACACAGCCAGATCCTGTTCTCCCCCAAAACAAGAGAGAGAATGGGAAGTATCTTTCAACTAGATATCTGCTGTATCTATTTTAGTGTCTACCTTTAACACTTTTAGCACTATTCGAAATCAAAACAAGTTTCATTACATAGATGTGTGATGTGAGGCCAGGTGCAGTGGCTCACGTCTGTAATCTCAGCACTTTGGGAGGCCAAGGCAGGCGGATCAACTGAGCCCAGGAGTTTGAGACCAGCCTAGCCAACATGGTGAAACCCCCATCTCTACTAAAAATACAAAAATTAGCCAGGCGTGGTAGCGGGCACCTATAATCCCAGCTAATCAGGAGGCTGAGGCAGGAGAATCACTTGAGGTGGAGGTGGAGGTTGCAATGAGCCGAGATCGTGCCACTGCACTCCAGCCTGGGGGACAGAGATAGACTCTGTCTCGAAAAAAAAAATAATAAATAAACATAGATGTGTGATGTGAAAGTCAGGACCATATTGGAACTATTGGTGCCATCCTTTTTTCCCTATTCCCTACTTCCATACCCATGGGCATCAATAATGGACTCACAACTTTCTCTATCCTGCTGAGGCAGAAGCAAGCTTCAGAACAAAGACCCCTCAAGACAGTGACTACCAGATACCACCAATCAGCTCTAATGGGGCACAGGAGAGGAAACCCACCTACCATTGCAGAAAGGAAAAACATTTGAGGGGAAAAGGTTGGGAGAAAGAATAAAGAGGGTTAGATGACCAATTCAGTTCACTGCTAAAGGACAGTTCACTGCTAAAGGGATTTTCTTAAAGTGTCAGGAAACCAAAGGAAAAGCATCATATAAAGTTTTTACCTTTGCTGTACCAGTCTGAGAACCATAAAAAATCTTCACTCCAGACACAAAGATGTCTTTCTCTTGAAGGGAGACATAACCATTTGTCATCAAATCCTGAGGTGCTTTTGGAACAGATTTTTCCTGTAAGTTCCTGTCCTGAAAGACAAATAATTACACAAAATCCATCAAGTCTAAATCGTTTCCCAACTTCAGCAGGGATGAAAATTAGCACAGATACTGAGACACTTTATTTTTCTCTTAATCGGACACACTAAATTTTTCTCTTAATCTTTCTGGTTGTATTCCTCAAATATTAGCCCCCTTGGTATAATAAGGTCCTTTAACAGGCAGGACCCACATTTTTAAGGCTCATGATTTCCATTCCCTCCAAGAAAAAACTTTACATACTCTTATCCTATAAAGTATTTTAGTAGAATAATAGTAGGAACTTATTTTCTGATCCTGAATGAATGGAAAGGCAAGAGAGGACTAGTGACCCTTAAAGGTATAAAACAAATTTGTTTTTCATATAAAAGATTCATTTTTCATTACAAAAAATCTTCCTGTATCTTAAAAATGAGACACAGAAAAAGTAAATAACTTAATCCAAGATAACTTAGTCTCCAAAAACTTAGAGAAGAAATTTATTTTAGGCATTTCATTAAAATATCTAAAGACCAAACCACAAAAGTAACTAAAGGCTCCTTTTAGTGTTTAAATCCTCTATAAAATCTGATGCCTAAATATTAAAAAAAAAAAAATAACTCCACTTACCTGCGTCTTGATGACAATCTGGAGACAAATCCAAAGGCTAATGCTAACAGCGAAGCCCAGATAAATGTAAAACCTGTTTATCCATAATGATATTAAAGGTGAGGAGAGGTCCCATGTATCCACAGAAGGATCTAAATTTAAAATGACACACACAGGTAATTTCGTTTAAAGCAATATATACAAAGATATCCATCCCGATTTTAAGAAGAAAATAAAACCAACCTTACATTCAACAACTCAGCTAAGAAATCTAATTTAAAAGTCAACTGTTGGCCGGGCGCAGTGGCTCATGCCTGTAATCCTAGCACTTTGGGTGGCTGAGGCGGGCAGATCACCTAAGGTCAGGAGTTCCAGACCAACCTGGCCAACATGGTGAAATCCCACCCCTACTAAAAATACAAAAATTAGCCGGGTGTGGTGGCGCGCGCCTGTAATCCCAGCTACGCGGGAGGCTGAGGCAGGAGAACTGATTGAACCCGTGAGGCAGAGGTTGCAGTGAGCCGAGATCGCGCCACCGCACTCCAGCCTAGGCGACAGACCAAGGCTCCATCTCGGGGGGAAAAAAAATCAACTGTAATAAAAATAACACACTATGTAGTAACGTGATAAAATTATCATACTGTTAATACTAACTCAAAGATAAAACAATATAAAATTGTATCTTCACTTTGAAATGAGCATTTAGAAGCAAGAGTAGGGAACATAAAGTAAAAATACTTCATGTGAAATTGGGTTAATTTTGTTTTGTTGTGCTTGCTCCATAAAAAAAAAGCTAAAGTAGTAACAGTACTCTTTTTACTAATTGTACTTTCAAAGGCTCACGGTTAAACTTGTAAAAGATTCTCAAGTAACTGACCTTACGCCTCATTTTTTTTTTTTTTTTTGAGAGAGATATGCAGGGACCTGGCCTCAAACGTTCAACCTAGGAGCAATTTCAAAAGTCGAAGCCTGAAATTTAGGCTTTACAGGTGCAAAAGTCCTAATACACGTGGGTAAAGTGGGAGGAGTACTTTTCTGCTTTCATTGAGGGTTGGAAACGTAGTTTCCTTCTAAACTAACCCCCTAGCCTCAAAAGGCAAAAGCCAGGTCAAAACCAGGGATCAGTCTTCTTTGCTCTCAGCGGCGGCTATCCGGTGCTGTCAAGTCCAACAGTCTCCGAAGGAAGGGCACCGAGGACGCCACTCCGCCTGGAGAGGGTCTCAGTAAAACGTTTACCTCTCCTGCCGCCCCAGGGTCCTTGCCGCCGGGTGCCCTTACCCATCCTCCTCAGAGCCGACGGGAGACTAGGATCTCGGACCTGGATAACCCGATGGTTCGCATTGGTACCGCGAGACGCACCGAGCTACCTCGCAGCGTTAGCGGCGTACCGGGTGCCTGAGGAGCTGGGGGCAGCCATGACACTGGTGGGCCGGTCCTGATTGGCTCAGAGGGCGAAGAGGTGGGCCCAGAGCAAAGCCCAGAGCTCTGGGAAAGGGAGCCAGTGTCCGGTGCGCTCTCGGCCCTGCTCCGATTGGCTCAGAGGGGAAAGAGGGCGTACCCAGAAATAAGCACCACCCAGAGTTCCGGGCGATGATGCCGGAGCGCTTCCGCCTCCGTTTGGATTGGCTCAGACTGGGAAAAGGTGGGTCCAGAGAGAAATGATTGGCATGGGAAAATAAAGAGGGGAAAGGAGTGGGAAGGGAGGGAAACGCTGTGTGTGGACCTGTTTGGATTTCGGTTGGAATAAACTGACTGCAGAAAGGCATTATTTTTGGGAAACCCCAGGATGGACTCGCTATTAGATGATATTAAGGAATTGTAGTTAATCTCGTCGCGTGTATCTGTTAAGGGCTATAGGCTGAAGTATTTAATGCTGAAACCATATGATGGTTTCTTTAAAGTACCCCCAACCGGCCGGGCGCGGTGACTCAAAGCTGTAATCCCAGCACTTTGGGAGGCCGAAGCGGGAGTATCGCTTGAGCCCAGGAGTTCGAGACCAGCCTGAGCAACATAGTGAGACCTCATCTGTACAAATTTTTTTTAATTATTTATTTAATTAAATCAGCTTGGCGTGGCCGCTCACACCTGTAGTCCCAGCTACTTGGGAAGCTAACGCTGGAAGATCGCTCGAGCCCAGGAGGTCGAAGCTGCAGTGGGGCCATGACCCTGCCACTGCACTCCAGCCTGGGTGACAGAGTGAGACTGACTTTAAGAAAAAAAAAAAAAGTGTAAATAAAAAAGCAACAAAAAAATGAAAAAAGAAGAATAAAACAAGAATGCAACATGTTAATAATTTGTTGAAGCGGGTGATGGGTACATGGAAGGTTCATTACACATTTTTGTCTACATTTTATGTTAAAATATTTCTATTATAAAACGGTGAGTAAATAAAAATATTTATTATAAAATAATTGTAGTATAAAAAATATTTTTATTATAAAGTGGGTCTGGCCCTTGAATTCCGCGGAACGAGGTGGTGCCAACGCTGTGTTTCAACCCGGCCACTAAACATCTGCGAGCATCCTGTCAGAGCTCTCAGCTCATTGGCGAAAGTAAATTACGTCAAACAAAAGCACCTCCCTTTTTGGGCGTGGAAAGATGGCGTAAAAAGCCACAATGCGCAGGCGTCGTCGCTCACTTTTCGCCTCCCGGCTTCCGCCCCACCTGACGTCTGCGCAATAAGGTTGCCGGGCGCACCGTGGCGGCCGCCTGAAGCTACTGAGTCGCGGCGCCGCGCACTTGCGGTTGGGTCAGTGCCGCGCGCCGCTGGTGGCCCTCAGGCTGGTCGGTGCGGGTCCGCCCAGGTTCGCCGGCTGCTAGGTCTTTGAACAGCCGCGATGTCGATCTTCACCCCCACCAACCAGATCCGCCTAACCAATGTGGCCGTGGTACGGATGAAGCGCGCCGGGAAGCGCTTCGAAATCGCCTGCTACAAAAACAAGGTCGTCGGCTGGCGGAGCGGCGTGTGAGTAGCCCCCTCTCTCGAGCCTGGGCCTGGGCCGTCACCTCCGAGGCGGCCTGTCTCTGCCCAAGTCTAGTTAATGGGCCAAGCTGAGGTCTTGGCCGGGGAGGAAATGGAACATTCCTGCTGTCAGCATGAGACGTCGCAGTCCGAGCTTGGCTCCTAAGCCAAGGGGTTCCTTCTTTATTTGGTTGGTTCGGATTGGGTTGTTGGTTTGGGATTTTGTTTTGTTGGTGTCATAATAGCTGCAGCCAAGAAATCTCATAATTGTGGTCCTTTTCCCAGAATGATAGCTGAGAACCTAGTCTTCCGAATACTGTCATAGTTGTGGATACATCTGGTGTCTCAGTAGCCCTAGCAGTTTGAAGTGCGTAGTGTCTTCACTGCTGCCATCTAGGGATTGGCATTCCGTGGCAGCAGCTGTCCGCACCCCACCCCACCCCGCCCCACCCCACCCTTAGTGTTTCTTACGTCCTCCCATGACATTTTTCTCCAGTGAGCAAATGGTAAGGCAAATACGATTCTGAGTTTTGAAAATGTTCCCTCAGGCCGATGTGGGCAGATCACTTGAGGCCAGGAGTTCGAGGCCAGCCTGGCCAACATGAAACCCCGTCTCTACTAAAAATACAAAATTAGCCGATGTGGTGGCGCATGCCTGTAATCCCAGCTACTTGGGAGGCTGAGGCAGGAGAATCACTTCAACCCGGAGGCGGAGGTTGCAGTGAGCCAAGATCGCGCCATTGCACTCCAGCCTGGGTGAAAACAGCGAAATTCTGTCTCGGGGTGGGGGTGGGCGGGGAAGAAAAAGAAAACGTGCCCTCGACACTAAAGGTCATCAGGGGGATTTGTTGTGTCCTGCCGTTCATGTTGTTGCCATCTCGTATTTAAATGTAAATGCGTGTCCAACTTTCAAGTATATTCACGTAGGACTTTCTCTCCTGCCCTCACAAGGGAAAAAGACCTTGACGAAGTTCTGCAGACCCACTCAGTGTTTGTAAATGTTTCTAAAGGTCAGGTTGCCAAGAAGGAAGATCTCATCAGTGCGTTTGGAACAGATGACCAAACTGAAATCTGTAAGCAGGTGGGTAACAACTACAGCATAGCTAACCCTAATAGCCATTTATAACGTACTTGAAGGTATGTTAAACATTAAAGGCCGTTTTTTTGGAGGAAAGACTAACAAAGCAATAATGTGAGCTGCACAGTGTCACTTCTAATAATAAAGAACTTGGTGGTTTTGTTTGTTTGTTTGTTTTTTGGGTTTTTTTGCCACAACCTCCTGAAATCAAATTTTCTACTAAATTACCTCATTTTTCTATAAATTACCTCATTTATAGAATGTGGTATACCTGAAAACTGAATTTGTTTTCAAGCATTTCATCTTTCAGACCCTTTTTTTTGGAGACAGAGTCTTGCTCTGTTGCCCAGGCTGGAGTGCAGTGCACTCCACTGCACTCAGCTCACTGCAACCTCTGCCTCCTGGGTTCAAGTGATTCTCTTGCCTCAGCCTCCCGGGTAGCTGGGATTACAGGTGCCCACCACCATGCCTGGCTAATTTTTGGATTTTTAATAGAGATGGGATTTCACCATGTTGACCAGTTCGGTCTCAAGCTCCTGACCTCAGGTGATACGCCCGCCTTAGCCACCCAAAGTGCTGGGATCTCACTGCGCCCAGCCAAAAGATTCTTGCATCTTTTGGGCAAAGCTCAAACCATTACTTACATATTAATAGCTGGAGAGGATGCAATTTAATTTTCTCCCCAGCTACTCATTTTTTGTGGCTAGTTAACAAATAGTGTGTGATAGAGAAAGACAGTGATTTCTTAAATGTGTTGGCATTTTTTTAGATTTTGACTAAAGGAGAAGTTCAAGTATCAGATAAAGAAAGACATACACAGCTGGAGCAGATGTTTAGGGACATTGCAACCATTGTGGCAGACAAATGTGTGAATCCTGAAACAAAGAGACCGTACACCGTGATCCTTATTGAGAGAGCCATGAAGGACATCCACTATTCAGTGAAAACCAACAAAAGTACAAAACAGCAGGTGAGTGGTTTCTCATGTGATCAAAACACAGCCATGGAAATCAGTTTTCTTTGAAGAAATGATTAAAATAACGGGTCTGGGGCCAGGCATGATGGTTCACGCCTGTAATCCTAGCACTGTGGGAGCCAAGATGGGAGGATTGCTTGAGGCCCGGAAACAGCCTGGGAAACATAGGGACGTACGCCCC